GCTGTTGAAGCACTCAAATATTGCAAGATTTAATTCACAAATCTTATTTACCTCTATCCTTCTCTCTTTATCTGTCTCCTTCCACCAGAGTGAAGGCCTTCAATATGTTTCCAAGAGACAACTCCCAAGTCATTACTCCCTTCTCCTCTGCACGTTTACGTGATGGCCAGTCTTTGACAATTTTAACTACTGGAACCAGAAGTGAGCAGGCAAAGCTTTGTGGCAGCAACAAAAACAGATAGCACAAACCCCACACATTATATTCTCTACAAGATCATAAGTCCACATGCAGGTATCTAGTCAGAGTTCTTGATCTAGCAAGCTTAGTTGCGTGGTTTTCTTTGGAAATTTTTAGCTTTCCTACATTATAGCAGTAAGCAGATTAGGAGCGGGGAGTCAGGACTTCTATAATGGCAGCTAACACCAAGGGAGAAGACAAGAAACATCACCTGGGAAAGTGCCACAGTGTGAGGTCATTCAGTGAAAGGACAAGGAAAGAACAACAAGTGTTCTTAGAAGTTCCCTAAAGTATCACTGAATTATAGCCCACCATACTCCAGCAACAGAGGTTCCTTCAAGTTCCTGTATGTCGCTAAGAAATGGTCTCATCAGGCTCCTGGTACTCTGTTTAATATGACAGGGTAGTGTTTAAAGTGTTTTAAAAGTGCTCCCCTTCAAAATAATATTTTAAACCAATTGCATTTTGTTACTGAAAGAGGTTGTTTCAGATATCTGGAAAGTTAATTTCTGTGGACCACCACCCTATCTGCTCTACGTTATCCCCAGCAATATCATCTTGCTGTAAGAACCTGAAACTTGTATTAAACTCAGGGCATGTGCACTAAGTGTCTGTTTATTGACTTCTCAATCGCATCTTACTAGGACACTAGCTTTCCAGCTAATGGCACAAAATCAAGACCAGCCAGCAGATTTTTAAAGCTGGGCCCAAATTCCTAGTCTTGGGCCTGTATGATCTTGGGAGATCTGGGTAATCACTCTGTGTCTCAATTTCCCTTCCTGTTAAAATGAAAGAACAATATCTTCTCTGACAACACCATATGACAATCATTAGAATAATAATGTAAGCACATTGAACTCCAGAAAAAGATCTGGGCAGTGAGGATGGGGAGAGTGAGGACAGCAGGTAACAGAGCACAGATCAAGCAGGAGATGGGTTAGACAGGAGAAGGATTGCCTAGGTTACTAGTAGAAGAGGTTGAAAGTCAGACAGTTCAGGGAGGTGGCAGGTCAGGCAAGTTGTGGAACCAGGTGGTTCAGACAGGTAGATTATATAGGTTCCAGGTGAGGTGATTCAGACAGTTCACAGGGTTAAGCTGGTGGCAAACAGAGATAAGGAGACAGAGATGAAGAGATAAGAAACAAGAAGAGGAAAGGGACAGGGATAGGAATGTACAGTTTGGGAGGAGAGAAAATTAGAGGCAAATGAGGAGATGCTAGGTCAGGGAGGTGACAGGGGGCTCTATGGGCTCAGGGAAGTCTCCCCTTTTACACCAGAGGTGACCTGAGCTGATTATCAGAGTAATGGTTTTGACATTTTTGACTTCTCTTCCTCCCTGAACTAGAGAATATTTTATTTTCACTTGCAATTCTCAAAATACATATTTTCTGTCATGAAATCTGAAGGTTTTGTATATGAAGATGAAGTTAAGGTGTCTGTTGCATAGCTGACATCTTGGAAGTGTCAGTGATTGCCCTAGACAGACTTTACAGCTGGCCATATACTTTCACCTTCTCTCATTTGATCTTTGAACCATCCTGGGTGCTAGAGAGGGCAGGCACCATCGTCTCCATTGACAGATGAGCTCCTGTGTGTGAGGCACCAAATGTCAGATATGGCCACATTTCCAAGCCCTTCTTCAACACTAGTATACTCTCAAGACGTCCTTAACTTCCTTCCAGGCCCTTGAGACCCAGCCTGCTTTGCTGGCCTCTGCTTGCCCCCACTCATCTTGTAGCACTGGCAACAGAGTAGAATGGAGGTTCTCAACTCCCCTCTTTCTTCCTATACATGAAATAAGTTCCTTTTGTTTTAATGCTTTGCAGCTCTTCACTCCAGAGAGCCAGATGAAGTACAAAAATAACCAACACACGGCATACATAGGTTCCAGAAATGCCGCTGTTTGTGTGGCCTGTAGAAATGGAGTTGGGGCTGGATTCCTCATTGCACCGAGTCCCTTCTCAGAATTCCCCCATGGACATTTCCCATGTTCTTCACCCCACCTCTTGATAGCCTTGGCCTCTGTTGAGATTGGTTGTAGATGTGGACATGAAAGAGACCAGTCTAGTTTGCAGTAACTTAGGACATGTTACTGACCTCGTACTGTGTGCTGAGTGTAGTGGGAGCAGATCCAGCAGGCTCAGCTCAAAATAAACTGTGCCAGAGTTTCCACAATTCTTCCATGGCCCTGTCTGCATGCCCTCCTTTCCTCTGTCATTATATTAACTCTCATTTCATGATATGCAATAAGTAATCAGGACAGGGGAGATGATATCCTACAAATGTGATCTCTACTCCTGATCTGGAAAGTTGTGTCTTTGGGAATTTAATCTTGTGCATATCTTGTGACATACAGCACCTGACCATCATTGCTTAGAATGGTCCTACATGGATTTAGGTGCTCTTAATGCTTGATACCAAGGATCTTGCTGAGATCCATCTATGTCATTGGTAGATGAGATGAACACCAGAAGTGCGTTAAATATAAATGTCAAATAGGGAAAAGGTGAAAGAATCCAGCTGAGAGGATTAGCCTGTCGTGTATTTTAAAAGGGAATGCAATAATCGTTCTTGTCCAAGGCTAAGAAAATATGGAATATTAGAAAGCTATGGTAGTGCATAACTATGACAAGGGGATGCCAAGGGATGTAAGCCATGGCATGTTTGAAATAGCCCTTGTTTCTGCCTCCATCCCTTAATCTGGGCTCCATGCCTAGTTTATCCAATTTGATTTGAGCATTTCCCCCATCCCTCCTTCTCCTCACCTTTTCTTAGGATTTAGACTATAGAGCAAATTGAGGTCTTTTTACTGAAGACTGTTGTGCTACCAAGGAACATATAAAAAGCAAACTTTTCTTTGGAGAGATAAGGGTATTTAGCTCATGTGCTTTTAAAATTGAGAATTAAGAATAGAAAATATAAGCTTTACTAAAGCAGTTAAATAATAAGAGAAAAGGGTTGGGAGAGGAAAAAAAGATATAAGAAGAAAGAAAAAAAACGAGAGGAAGAAAGATAAGGTCAAGAGAGAAAGAGCGGGTGAGGGAAGGATAGAGATCGTAGAACTGAGTGTGCGGGAGACAGGGGGAGGGAGTGAGCGCAGAGGCAGACAGGACAGAATTAAGAGTGTGGCTTCTGTGCCGGAGATCTGGATTCCCAATCTACAAAAATTCTACATCAAATATTATACTCAGTGGTGAAATATTGAAAGGATCTCCCTGAGATCAGGAATGAAACTAGGATGGCTACTGTAACGACTTCTGTTCAACCTCGTCCATCCTAGTCTCATTCCTGATCTCAGGGAGATCGCTTATTATTTGTTTAACTCATTAATTCCACCCCTTAAACATCTCTTGAATATTCCCACTAATTCCTCTCTCTACTGCTGGTGCCCTCGCCTGAGTTACAATTCCATAGTTTCCCTGACTACAGTAGTAGCCTCCTCAGGGGAGAAATATTTTCAAAACACTAATCTGACCACATCATTCCTTTGCATAAAACCCTACTGTGCTCCACTGTTCTTAGACTAACAGTGAAAATGCTTGCCAACGCTCCCAAGGCCTTCATGACCTGTCCCTTGTCCTGCTTTGCGGCCATAGTTCATACAAAAGCCCTATGCAAAGGAATGGTGTGGAAATTTGAATGTCTTACTCATGGGGAAAAGAATAAGAGGTGTAAGATGCTGATTCTGGAAGCTTAGAGATGTTTTCTCCTTGTTTCCCCTTTGACTTTCAAAAGATGCCAAATTGTTATATCTTTAGTCTTAAAAAAAAAGAGGCGGGATAATCAAACTTATAAATTCCTGGAGATTACATTTAGAATCAGTCTTCTACCCGCTCCCCTCCATCAAATCTGTTTCTCCAATCTGAAAAACCGAATGGATTCGGTGCAGAAAACTGTATGATTTCAACTTCTTTTTATCAATCTTTTAAGTCTATTCTCCCTGGGTCACCAAGCAGTTAGAGGTGAGAAAAGAATTCTTGGGGTTGGAACATTATTGCCTCATTCTCTGATTGTCCAGATTGGGTCAAATTAAGATTTAGCTGCTCTGACGTTCTCTGCTTCCGGTTTAGAGTGTCTTTGGTGGGTATCGTAGGCCTAGAAAAGACCCTTACATCTCTTGGTCAAAGCCTTCATCTAATGCTGGTGGTGCTGGAATGGTTCTGAGCAAAGCTGTGAGAAGGCCCTGGAGTTGACCTAGGTTCCCCAGGACTCATTGGGGCTCCCCAAGCCTTGACATTATTTCAAAGAAAGTCTGAGGCAGATCATGGTTTGAGCCTTCTGAGCTCCCTCCCATTTTTTTGTAGCAGAAGCTATCCTGTAAAGCCCCTAGAAGGGAAGAGAAGCCACTAGTGGTTTAGTCAGAGGGGAATGTGAAATTGGAGGGAAGTGTCATAGTCTGACCCTTTGCGTAGGTAGTGGACGGAGGTGAAGGATGTGGCTTATGGGGGGGGTGGTGTGTGTATGTGTGTACCACCCTCAGGTCAGGTGGTAGGCTGTCTCTGTCACTCTAGCTCTCTGTCTCTCTCACACACGCACACCAGTGTCCTCAGCCTGTGCCTGTCTCTCTGTGCCATAGCCTCTCAGTCTTCTTTGTGTAGGGGAATGGGAACAGGACTTCCTGTGCTGTCTGATTCTCTGCAGCTACTAGACTCTGAGGCCAGAGTGAAATCTGAGCATGGCGGCTCTTGTGGGCTGCATCTTTCCTCTCCCTCCCACCATTCTCAGCTAACAGCCTGACTTGGCTCTGTCTTTGCTCCTGCAGCACTCCACTTCGGTGAGCATCATGGGCTTTTCCAACAGTCTGGAGATGGAGCTGTCATCTACCAGGCTGGCGAGGACCATAGAGCCACAAATCCAGAGTGTGAGCAGCCTGACAGCTGGTCCCCACCGGGCAGTACCAAGCCTCCTGCGTGGCCCCCCTACAACCATGTCTGGCCTGACAGGCAGTCAAAATCAGGCTATGCCCAGCCTGACAGCCAGTCACCTGCAGACCATGCCCAGTCTTGTGTGTGGCACACCCCAGTCCTCGACCAACCTGATGAATGATTCCTCCCAGGCCATCACAAGCCTGGCAAGTGATCACTCTCAGGCTAGGCCCATCCTGATCTCTGGTCCCACACAGCCTGTGCCAAGTCTGGCAACTTGTCCTCTGCAGAGCATGCCTCTGGCTTCTGATATGCAGCCGGAAAGTAGATCCAGCTACAGTCCTGGCTCTGGCCGAGCTGCAGGGATCCTGTGCCCTGGGGATGGGGCTGATGCCTCGCTGGGGAATTCCCTGTGTAAGGTAAGTCCTGGGGAAATGCCATTCAACTTCCTCTGCTCAGCACTGGGCAAAAGGGTGGCCCCTGAAGGCCTTATCCTCGCCTTAGCTTGACAGCTCTGTGATCACTAACAGCAAAAATGTCTGATTTCTTTTATTCTTGTTGGCCTTTCACTTTTCAAAGATGGAAAGTGAAGATTCTGCCCGCTTCACTGACTCTCTGGGACAAGGCCCCATAGTCCCTGGTCTGGATGCTTCCAAGGACCTGGCTATCCCCTCAGAACTGGAGGAGCCAATTAACCTCTCTGTGAAGAAACCTCCATTGGTCCCAGTGGTCAACACATCCACGGCTCTGCAACAGTACCAGAACCCAAAAGGTGAGACTGGAGGAGGCAGCCTGCCTTTCGTGCGGCCACAGACTGAGCAGATATGGGCTCAGCACTGCCAGGTGGGACAGAGGTCAGCAGCCAGCCTCTAAGCGGAGGGAGCAGTGTGTCGCTTTCAGGCTAAATTCACTTCTCCCTCCAGAACTGCCTTACTGATGCCTGCTCTGTTTCCCTCACTGTGGCCGTGACTGATCCAGCCTCCTTGTAACAGTCCCCAAGCAAAAGGTTCTGGGGGTCTGGGTTATAGGTAGGAGGAAACGGGAAGAACTCAGAAGAGCTACCTTTGGCAAAATATTTTAGGGAAAAGAGCATGTCTGATACGGAGTCAGATCTAAGTTAGAAAACCAGCTCTGTCTCCTTATGCTTGATCCTGGGCAAGATACCTAGTCTTTCTGAGCTGGTTTCTTTCTCTGTAAATGGAGCTAATCATAGCGACTTCACAGGCTCCTGGGACAGATAACTACAGTGAAGTCATTCGATGACTTACTCTGCAGTAACAAGAATTCGCCTTGCACGGGCAGTAACATGGGTCTGTGTTGTGCCTCATGGTAAAGGGAATTTGGACCGGTGGAGACTGACTTTGATCCTCTTCTCAGCTCCCTCCACCCCTTCTCAAATGGGGCTGGGCTAAGGTTCTTTTCTTTTGGAAGCTGAGCGCTACATGGAAGGTTAGAAAGCAGTTGCCGAGGGAGCATTTGGGACTTTTTCAGTTCAGTTCAGTGTAAACCCAGCATACAAACTGGGTTTAGTTTGCAATGATCCGTCTATTTCCTATATACTTAATAAATGAAAATGAAACAATTTTTCTCCTTTTATCCTCACACTGACTGAAAGACCAACTGAATGATCATTGGTTCTTATTAACTGCACAATAATATAACCCTGAATTTTAAGCAGTTTAATATTTTGAACCCTGCTTGTCCATGGAAAGCACCCAAGACAGTGCCTGGTGCTGAGCGGGTGCTCAATAAACAGTAGTTTCCTCCTCTCTCCCCACACTGCCTCCTGCCCGTCTACACAGCGTGCTCTACTCTGGGTAGGGCTCCTGGGAGCCTCTTGCCCATGGAGTGTGAGCTGGATTCTCAGGCAGTGCCAGAATCCATGCATTTGGCTGAAAAGGCAGAGACTGGATAGAATGATTCCTGAGAGCAGGTAACACCACTGTATGGGGAACAAGTGATTTCTGAGCTCATTTCCAAGGTGAGAAGCTGGCCTCTCAGTGCCTGACCCAACATGTACCCCTAGGCAGCCTCCGAGCATCATCTGTGTTTATCTTTTTAAAAAAAGATGGCCTTCTTCCGCTCTCAGGAAGGAGAGCCACAGCAGGATTGCCACGACTATGGATGACTACAGTGTGGGTAACAATCGTGTGACATGTATGTGGCCAAAGGTGTGAGTAGCAAATATGAGTGGAAGGTATGGTTGACAGGGTGTGTTGTCATAAATTTATGTCACAGGTATTTATTTGTCTTTTGCCTTAGAGTGTGAGAATTTTAAACCAGGCGCCCTAGAGCTGGACACAAAAGAGAACCAGAGTGTCAGGTAACAGACTCTTGGCCCAACCTCCCTCTCCCACCCCCAACTTTGTGTCCTGGGAGGTTGGCACAGGAAGTAAGCAGCCTTGCTGACTTAACCAGAAGCAGTCATTTACCTGCAACTGTTTTCTTCAAGCCCTGGCCCCTCAGGTGGGGTCTGTATAGTTAGGCATCTGGGATGGTTGTGGGAGGGTGTCCTGACTCCTGTACTGGAAGGCATGTGCTCTGCATGCAGTCCTTCCTCTTCAGGGACCCCCCTTCTTTGACCAAATGGCTTCCCAGGGCCTGTCAGGGCCTGGCCAGAGCTGGGCAAGAGGGCAGAATATGGGCCTCTAGAGGGTTGGACTGAGGAGATCTCAAGCAGTAATTCAGTTGTGTGATCACCGATGCAGCGGGGCCAGAGGAGGCTCCCATCAAGACCCAGGGGTGTCTCTCTTGCCACAGACCCTTCAACAGTGAACCCAAGATTCCTTATGTGCGCCTGGAGCGGCTCAAGATCTGTGCTGCCTCCTCAGGAGAGATGCCTGTGTTCAAGTTGAAGCCACCGAAGAATGATCAGGATGGGAGCTTACTGCTGATCATCGAGTGTGGTGCTGAGTCCTCCAGCATGTCCATTAAGGTACCACTTTGTTCTGCCTTGACCTTGAACCTTGGCCCAGCCTTGGAGCCTATCTTTTCTCTCTGCTACTGCCAGAGTTCTGGCTCTGGCCTTGTCTTGAGTCTCTGAGTGGGGCTGCAGCTTGGCCAGACTTTGTCTCCTGCTGCAAGGGGCCTGTGAGGTGCACATTAGGAGGGAGCCTTACCAGCATTCATGGGGCTTGGCTGGCTTGGGGTCCTGGAATAGCTTGGTGCCGAGAGCTTGTCAGTGCTACCCCTCCTTCCCTCAACAACTTGTTGGCTCTGACTGCTCAGACTCACTGCTTCCCCAAGGTCAGCCAGGACAACCTGCCTGATGCCATCCAGGCCCCAAGTCTGGGGGGAAGAAAGGTCACTGTCACTTCTCTGGCTGGGCAGCGGCCACCAGAGGTGGAGAGTGCATGTCCTGAAGAACAAAGACTCATTCCTCGAACCCCTGGAGCCAAGAAGGGGCCCCCAGTACCAATAGAGAATGAGGACTTCTGTGCTGTGTGCCTCAACGGGGGAGAGTTGCTGTGCTGTGACCGCTGCCCCAAAGTGTACCACCTTTCCTGCCACTTGCCAGCCCTGCTCAGCTTCCCAGGGTGAGTCATGCTAGTCTAGGGCCATCACCTGGCCAGCAGGGTGATCCCCTAGGGATGATTATTCCAGGCCAGGCCCACAGAGCTCCCTCGCATGGGCTTCCTCCCCTCTCGGGGCCTGCATGAACTGCAGGTCTGTGAGTTAGTGGGCCTACAGCTGTCCGCCTCTGCACACAGACAGATAGATGTTTGAAATTTGGGTAGCTTCCCTTCTTCCTCTGTTCCCACCTTCCTCCTGCACAAAGATTTGTCCCCATACTCGCCTCCCAGCCCCTTGCTAACTCCACTTTTTCTGGATTTGCTAAATCCTGAGTTACTGAATTTTTTTCAAGCTTGTGGCTAGGAAGCCATTCCTACAGGACAAGGCTAAGGCCTCAGTTTCCCTTGCCACCATCCCCTACGCTTGCATTGGGGCAGAGGGACAGGGGAGGGGGCTCTGGGCAATGTGCTGAGACCTAACTTGGCCCCATCTGCCTCTGCAGGGGAGATTGGGCGTGCACCTTGTGCCGCAGCCTGACCCAGCCCGAGATGGAGTACGACTGCGAAAATGCACGCTATAACCAGCCTGGAGTGCGGGCCCCTCCAGGCCTGAGTGTACATGACCAGAAGGTAGGGAGGGTCTCTGGGAACAAGGTTCCCCACCTGGGGCAGCCTCCCTGTGCCTGTAGGGGCTGAGGCCTTTCTCAGGGGATGAGAGCCTCTCCAAGTATCTCTCTTTTGGGCTGTGCCTGACAGCTTGGCCCATGGGGCTTTGCTATGATTTTCCTTCTGCCAGCTGTTTTCCTCTGGCCTAGGAGGCTGAACTGTGCCTTAATATGGTGGCTCGTCCCCTGTGGGACAGAGCCAAACCCTCTAGAGTTGATAGGGTCACTGTCTTTAGTTCTTATTGAGGTGAGGCCAGAACAAGTAACTCTGTTGCCAATTCTGACTTCTGCAGAAGTGCGAGAAGCTGGTACTGTCCTTGTGCTGCAATAGCCTCAGCCTGCCCTTCCACGAACCTGTCAGCCCGCTGGTAAGGAAGGCCTCGCTGCTCCTGCCTGCTCCTGTGCTTTCTGCTCAGAGGGCCCTAGGCCTGGGGACAGGTCATGGTGGTGCCCAGGGTGGGCTCAGAGCTTGGCCTCTGGAAGTATGATTAATCTGTGGATGGTTTAGAGGCCCCGGGGGGCTGCGGCCACCACAGCCCCCCAACTGTTGCATCACACCTGACTTGACAAGTGAAACTTTCCTCCTTTTTCCTTTCCCTCTGTCTTTTTTCTCTACACTTTCCTTCTTGCTGCCTTTCTCTTTCTTATGTTCTTTCACTTCTGTTCCAACTCACTCTCCATCTCTCCTTCCTTCTTATCTATACCTCCCCTTCTTCTCTCTTCCTGCTTTGCTTTGCCTTCTCTCCTGCCCCAAGGCCCGGCATTACTACCAGATTATCAAGAGGCCTATGGACCTGTCAATCATCCGGAGGAAGCTGCAAAAGAAGGACCCAGCTCACTACACCACCCCAGAAGAGGTGGTGTCAGACGTGCGCCTCATGTTCTGGAACTGTGCTAAGTTCAATTATGTATGTCTTGCCTGTTTTCCCTCTGCCCTACTTCCCAGTGACCCCAAGACTGTCATGGCTATATGAGGGTATCAGGTTTGGTCCTGGGCTGCTATGAGGACCTGGGAGCAGAACTTCTGGGGCCTACTGTAGTGAGTGTTTTAAAAGCTCCCTCCCACACTTGGCCTCAGCATGGACTCAGGAGGAAGATGGGGAGTGCTAGTGATTGGCCATCTGTGGGTACCTGTCAGGGTCACTTCTGCTTTAAGAGCTGATACAAACTGGTTATCCTGAGGCCTGAGGAGAAAACATCAAGTTCCAACATTTAGGAGACCCAGCCACGCTTTCTACTGTCTGTATAGCTCTTGAGGGACCTGGAAGAGATGGGCTGGTGGAAAAGGGCCCGCCTATCACTGCTCTCCTCTCCCTCCAGCCCGACTCGGAGGTTGCAGAGGCTGGCCGCTGCCTGGAAGTGTTCTTTGAGGGCTGGCTGAAGGAGATCTACCCGGAGAAACAGTTTGCCCAGCCAAGGCAGGAGGACTCAGATTCCGAGGAGATGTCTAGCGAGAGTGGGTATTCCACTCCCCAGGGCTTCCTGTGGCCCCCCTATGTGCAGGAGGGCATCCAACCCAAGAGGCGGCGGCGACACATGGTAAAGAGTTGCTCCCAGCTGGCAGGCAGGTGGGTGGGTAGGTGATTGGGCAGGCAGGGGGCACCCAAGCAGCATGCACAGAGAAACCTAAGGTGAAGCTGCTCAGGTGGCACAAGAGAAAGTGGTGACAATGGACCCCCACTTCCAACCCCTTAGCCTATGAGGAAGACAGGGCAGTGTCGGGCTCATCAAGTCCAATTTCCACTAAGGCTCAAAACTCAGAGAGGTGGATATACCTGTCCAAGGTCACCCAGCAAATTAGCAGCAGAACCAGGGTGAGAAACCAGGCCTCCTGACTCCTAACTCAGTGCTGGTTATTCTGCATTGTCATCTCATAAGAAGAGAAGTACCTGGTCCCAGTGCCTGATCTCAACTTGGGTTTGGGAGAAAGGAAGGGATCTTTTCAGCGCCTTGGTTTAGAGGAAGGGGAGGTGTTGCTTGTAGCAAAGAGAGCTCCTCTGACTTTTTGGCTGCTCCCACTTGTGCAGACCTGAAACATCAATTCAGTGCTATTTAATTCCACTGAAATGTGTTGCCTGCCTACTGTGTGCCAGGGTCTAAACAGCCATCCCTGGTTGTTTATGATACTTAACACACAATGTGTAGTATCTTCAGTGAGTTTTACTGCTGTGTTCCTGGGATAAAAGAAAACACTTTGACTCTGAGGAATGCCAGTCTGGACATTTAGCTTTTCATGTTAATAAATCCTACATTTGGTCATTCGAATTCCATATTTTTTCTTTCAGGAGAATGAAAAAGTAAAAAGAACGTCGTTCCGCATGGCCAACAGCATCTCCCAGGTGTGAGAGCTGGAAGGGACCGAGCACCCTGGCAGCCGGTGTCCCATCCTGTGACCACTCCTCCCCACCTTTCAGCTCATTCTCTTCAGACCGTGGGTGTGAGACGAGTCTTGTTGAGCTGTGTAGTGCTCTTCTTTGCCGTTTGCATCTCACAGCATTTATTTGGGAGCCATAGTGCGTCCACTTCAGAGAAGATTTCAGTAATAAAGAGCGAAGAGGGAAGTCTGCCCTATTACTGGAATAATCAGATGTGTAGGGGCCACTTGACAAGACCAAACCTAGTCAGGCTCAGGAGGACCTAACTTCCTCGGTGAATTCTTTCTGCTGAGGAAAGCAGACTTTCTCACCTTCCGGTGTACAGGGCTCAGGAACAATGTATGTATCTGAACTCCTCCAGGGCCCCGAAGGAGGTAAAAGGGAGAGAGGTTCTGACATATGGCAGGCCTGTGATCCCTGGCCCAGCACAGCCAAAGACTGTCACTGTTTGCCTTTGCTTGGCCTGCCAGGACAGAGGCACCTGCCCTGGGCAAGGGTAAGGGAGGCTTCTAGAGGCCATAGGTCTTGATTGGTGCCTATTTGGGTTCTAACGAGGATTGGTGCCTATTCGGGTTCTAACGGTTTTCAGGGTATTTGTTTTCCACGCCTCCTTTCCTGTGTTGACTTAGGTGGCTGCTGTGAAAGTGCTCTGGATGGCATGGCATTCTTGACTGGGCTGGGTGGCAGTGCAGAGACCACTGACTCCGATTTCACTTGCAGGTGTACGAAGATGTCACCTTCAGAGCCTGCCCTCTGTGCCACTTACTTTGGGCTGATAGCTCTTCTTTGGTGTGAGAACCTGCCCTCCTAGAAGTGATTGTTGGTAACCATCCCTTCATTATCTCCATTCAGAGATCTGGATCCTGAGTTCTTCTTGGGAAAACTGTGAGGCAGCTGCTGCTGCTTCAGCGAGGCAGGGAGAATGACCCACAACCAGCTCAGTCTGCTGGGCCTCTCCTCCTGCTTAGAGGCCCTAGTTCTCACCCTCTCCACGTTCACAGAGCCCAGGATCAGAAGTGAGGCCTCTGGCTGGCCTGCCCCACGGCTGCCCACAGCCCAGAAAAGGTCAAGACTCTATAGGTAGCCCTTTTTGTTGGAGGTTGGAGAAGGCCAGAGGGACTGACAGGAGTCAGACCTAAGCGTTTGTAGAGGAAGTTCTGTCTAGGGAGGAGAAAGGGAAACCTGAGAGGTGAGAAGCCAGTGTCCTTTGGTGACCTTGAAGGAACTTCAGGACTTTACTTTTCCCAGAATGCAGAGAAAAGTGTTTTGGAAGCCATGGGAACAGGAGCGGAGCTCCAGTCTGCATCTCGGATGGATCTTCATGGTCCAAGCAGGGTGTTTGGGAGGAAGCTGCATAGGCAAGATGCTGAGAGTCAGGCCACCTCACCAGCAAAGGCTTGGTTGAGAAGGAACCTATTGCTGATATGTGGGGGAACTGCATTCCTGGCATTTCAGTGGCCTGGAGACACGGCTCTCCCTGGTCCTGTCATGGCTTGGCTAATTTCAAGGGAGTCAGACCATGGCTTTATTTTTGCTGTGAGATGCAATTCAAGGAATTCTTGTTTGTCAGGCCTTTGTTAATGGGAACATTTTGATCAGAGAAAACATGTCTTCTCTCCGTGTGAGTTGATGGTACTGTTCATTTCCTTCTCCACTGAGGCTGGGAGATCATCTTCCTTCAAAACAGACCGTGCCCACTGACTTGCCATTCTTTCACCAGCACTTGCCAAGCTTTCCTAAGCAGGTGGGCATCCATAATCCTGTTTTCTAGTTTGGGGTAACTAAGTCTTTGATACTCTGGTAGCCACGCAATGTTTGAACTTAGCCCTCTGCTCTTTGGGGCTCTGGCCACTTCCTTTTCAATTTTCGAATCTTTCTCTCTGGTTAGTTGGCTTGGCAAAGTTCTCTCTGTAATTACCTCATTAATTCCTGCTCTTGGTCGTCTTTCCTTCGTGTGGCCCACATTCCCACCTCACCTGAGTGAGCTTCATGGTGCTTTTTGTTGGGCAGCCAGGTGAGGGTTGTGACAGGCTCAAACCTGTTTGAGATTCTTCCCCAGGACCAGTTGGAGACAACGAATATGAAGCAGAAAGGCCTGGTTAAATGCTTGGCTTCCCGCCTGTCAATGAAGCTTCCAGCTTGGATGTAGCCTACTGGGCCAGAGGACCTTAGGAATGTGTTAGCGAGTCACATATTCCCTTCCCATCACAGAGACTTGCAAGCTGAGAGGCTCCCCATAGGCACTTGAGCAGGCAGGGGAGGGAGGGAGGGAGGGTTTCCTTTCCTCCAAAGGTGCGAGGCCCTGGCCCACTACACCATCCCTGTGCTGGTTACCTCACAGCACTGCCCTCTCCCTGGCTTTTCCTGTATACTTATAACCAATATTTTGAGTCATGGTTATGTTTTGTTTTGCTTTGTTTTTGCATGCAGAAAACAGATCATGACTATTTAGAAATTTTTTAAAAAGCTACTAAGCAAGTGGACTGACTTCAGCGATTCTTTGCAAACATCTGAGTGGATCCTCCTTTTGACTTAGTCCTGTAATGGCCACATTTTGAAGTCAGTCAAGTCCTTTGGCCTTTGACAAAGTCAGGAAATGGAAATACAATGAGTTCTGGATTCTACGGTACAGAAGGCAATCCTGAGGAGAAACTGGGCCTCCTGGGTGTGCTGAGAGACAGGACAGTGGAGTGGCTTCAATTGATGCAAAGGGGATTTTAGTGTAAAATTGGTGCAGCATGAACTTGCAGAGCTCTCTTCCATAACTTGGGTAGGTTGGCCCTACTGAATTCTAGCAATCGCCAATTACACATCTTCTGCTGGTACCCTCTCCCTAGTGGCAGCCACCAGACCCTCTATAGGCACTGCTCTGTGCAGGCCCTGCCATCAATCCTGATGGACTCTGGCTCCCTGTACCCATTTCTGGTGGCATGTTTTTGCCTTGCTGCTAGGACCTAGGCCCCTCCTTGTTTCTTCCTGGGCTCCACTCCCTCTCTCACTCCATGGTATCACCTATAGTCTTCTCTTCTGAACTCCTGAACTGAGACCTTGCTCCTTCTGGATCACTACCCCCTATATTTCCTCTTCTCTCATTCCCTCACTGCTAGTTATTTAAATTGCCTGCTCCTTTAGCCCTGTTCCATGACCTCAGCTCTCTCTCTGTTTTCCCAGTCTTTCAGCCTTCTGCTGGGCTTCTTCCTCTCCCCGCCTGAACCCATGGCCCATCATACGCTGAATTTTTTTCAGCATCCTGAACTTTCTCATCCCCGTCAACTTTTGCTGAAACTATTAACCATTCTCCATTTTTTTGCATCAGCCTATTTTCTGCTCCTTCTTACTGGGTTGCTAAGCATGGCAAATTCATATTTGACAGCCTCAGTTGGGCTCTCAGTATTGACTGGTATATCTTTGACTTGTTATTACTCTGTTTCCGTCCATGCCCTTCATCTTTGCTCTCAGCAAATGACTGACGTCATTGCCCACTTTACAGAAGAGATGACGTAAAGCAAGAACTTCCCTGCACACTTGCTCCTCTCCCTATCCCATCTGTCTATGTCTATATCCCTCCTTAGCTCTTTTCCTCTGGCTTCTGTTTGGTGCTCTATTTCTTGATTCCTACTATGTGTCCTCCAAGACTTTGCTCCATCCTTATCCCACTGCTCACACTTTCCGGGGTCTTCCACCTCCCTCTCCATTGGTTTCCTCCATGTAGTCTACAAGCAAGCAAAATTCTCCCTGAGATTAAAACAAAATTTCTTAGAGTCTGTTGACCCTTATACTTTTTCCTTGTCAGCCTAGTTCCTTTAAAAAAGAATCTTTTTCATTGATTCTTCTTAGTCACTCTTCAACTCTCTCTATATAGTTTTTCACAGGTCACCAGTGACCACCAAGTTGCCAAATCAAATGAATACCTTTCGGTCCTCAACTGTCTTGAACTCTCTACAGCATTTCACACCATCCACTACTTCCTCTTTGAAATATCCTCCTTGCTTGGCTTTTATGGCACCACAAGTCTCTGAATTATCCTCTTACCTTTCAGCCACGCAGACTGAGCCTTCCTGAAACCTTGACAGGGGGACATCTTTAGCTTCCTGTGGTCTCTCCTCTTCAGGAGTTGGGTAGGTAGGACGAAGCGCAGCTGCCTCTGCTCACCTCCCTCAGTGTCTGCCCACTTTATTTGAGCCCGTTTCTGTTCCTGGACTTAGTTATCCTCATGCCAAGCATGTTTATTAGCTCTGCTGGGAGGACAGCATCTGTGAGGCCTTTCCTCTGACACTCCTAGCGCAGCGTGGAGACAGAGTTTAGCCATGTTTGCTCAGAGGCCCCATCTAAATTAGCCCAAGAGCGTGGATTGGGTCTTACCAAGAAGCATTTTGGCAAACAGGATTACCAGGCTGGTGGGCAGCTCATCACAGTGATCTCCATACCAGTCAGAGCCAGCCACAGTTGATGAGGAACTTGGGATCATGGCAAAACATGTTTCCACGCATGGTCCAGTCCTGCTAGTCAGGAGGAGAATCCTGGCAGGGGCGGGGGTCCGCCACTGATAACGTTCTGGTGAAGGGAGACTGGGAAGTGCTGTGATTCATCACTTCCTGGGGCTCCGCTGGGGTCAGCCTGGCCTGGTTTTAGCCTAGGCTTCCCCAGCCGTACTGATCATTACTGCCTGCTTGCTCCAGTTGTTCTAGAGCTGGAGGCAGATGTTGGTTGTCTTCTTGGAGGTAGGGAGGTGTAGTGGAAAGATACCTGATTTGAGAGACTGAACACCTAAATTTTGGCTCTGCCAATTATGAGCTGTGTGACCTTGGGTAGCGTTTCCCCATCTATAAAGTGGGAGGGAGTGTTGAAAACAGTGATCTCTCAGAGGCTCTCCAGCTTTAAAGATGGTAATGGTGATTCTAACTGTAAAGCTCAGGCCACACAGGGAATGACGGAATACTGAGGGTAGGACACAGCTGGGGAGTCTTGGCCAAGGCAGAGCAAGTCAGGCCACACTGAGCGGCTTTGAGGAAAGTCTTCAGTAGCTGGTGCTGCTTCTTGAGCCATATGCCCATTCCTCAAGCTGCACCCCTTCTTGGACATCTAGGATGAGCTCCTCCTAGGCCTTTTCTCGAAGTGGCACTTGGATCTAAAGTGGTTGAGGGCACGAAGGAGGAATATTTAAGGGGAAGAATCACTTATCTTAAAAGGACCTACACATTCAAGAACAAATTAAAAAATAGCACTTTCCTTTACCAATAATTGTGTCCTGGAGTGTTTTTTTCAGTGAAGATGGTCAAACCTATTTCTGGTCTTCTCGCCCCTGGACTCCAACATCATTAAGAACACAAGGAGAGGAAGAATAGACTGGGAAGCCTTCTCTCTACAGAACTCAGCTCTCTGCTTCTTACTGCAGGAACACAGCCTGTTCTTCAAACTACAGGCAGCAAGTCTGAGGCAGGGTTGGGGAAAAAGCATGAATGTCCACCACTTCTAGCCACTAAACACTTCAAGAATGTCCTCTCTGTATTGATATTCCCCAGTCACCCAGCCTTAGCTCTCCTTGCTGCCCACTCTACACCAGTGGTTTCTAGCAGCGTAGGGGTTGAGGACATTGTAATGAATAGTTGTCATTCATGTTGACTGCATAGAATCTGAGCCCTTTCCTATTTTGGGGGAATTCCTCACCTCAGGGTGGGAGGTAGAGCTCACTCCTCACTTCTAAATATATTTAGAAGCTAAATATATTAAAATCTTGATTTCCCAGCATCCCTTGTAACCAGGGTGCAGGTCTAGTGGTAGTAATTAGGAAAAAAAGCCAGGACCACAGAGACTTCTCTGGTGACAGTGTTGGTTGCAGCAAGGTGGGGTTTCCATGGCAGCAGTGGCAACAGAACAAGTTGAAGCACCTGGTGCTCATTGATGACAGCGATTGTTTCTTCAGTAGACCAGTTAGCTCTTAGCTTAATTCTCTGGCCTTCCCAACAATGCTGTGAACTACCTAAAAAAATATTTTGATTAACTCATTTTCGGCTTAAATTAGTCAGAAATGGCTGCTTTTACTTGCAACTAAACACCCTAACTGATGCAGAAATCTTGGATAATCTGATAATGTCATGGACCCGCTCTTCGAGCTCCAGACTCACATGTCCTGTGGCCTATTGGACACCTCCACTTGGGTGTCCCAGCGTCACCTGATACACTAGCCATCCCTCTCATTCTTAACATACTCCTCCTTCATATTCCTTATCTGAGAAGCCAGGGACATGGGAAGGAAATGAGGGCGGGTGGTGTCTGAGAAACCAAGGAAGTTTGGGTTTCAAGGAAAGATGATCATCACTTTTAGTGCTTAAGATGAGACCTGAAAATCCTATCTGGCTCACCATCCCTTCCCAGCCTGGCCCAGGTACCTGAAACCTTTCCCATGCCTGCTCTGAGCTTTTTCGCTGTGTTTTGTCCTTACTAATCTTATTAGTATTCTCCTTCTCTAGGTCCCAGGGACATACACCTCTCTACTTACCACTCCTCAGGTTCCATGGCAAGCAGCTAAGCGAGCCTGCTCCGCAGAGCAAGCCCTGCCCTGGACCTCCTCTTCCTACACAGTATCCAGGGCCTGATAACAATAAGTCCTAAAAAAATTAAAATAAACAATGGCAAAACCTAAATAAATATCTAAGTAAATGCCCATAAACGATACCATTTTGTTAATTATGATTAACAAATTAACCCATTAATTGTTAATTTTGTACCAATTTCACAAAGATTTTATTACACTTGAAAACAATTCATGTTTTTCACTTGACAGGAAATTCTACATACACAAGAGGATTGCTGAGAAACCCCAGCCAATTGTAAATTAAATGAATTACTCCTAACCAAATAATTTAAAAAGCAAAATTATAAAAACAGTTTCAAAATTTTGCAGTAAAAACTAGATTTACTACAGGCTGTAGGTGCATTTTAATGTTTGAGGTGTGTTGTAGGGCCTCCTAGAATAAGAATGCCTGGACTCTGGGGAGAACCCTCATCCGTGGGCCCTGGAGCTCTGGGGATGAAGACCTTGTCCTGTAGACATCAACCCCTGAAGGCCTTGCATAAGATATGTTTTCGAAACTGAGAGGGTCTAACCAGCCCCTTGAGGCCACTTTCCAACCATGGCAGAAACTGCTAATTGTTGCCAGTATCCATTTTCTCCTTAATATTAGTAATAACCCCTCCTTACCACCCCAGCCTCCTCTACAGCTAGATGTTGTGAATAAGTTCTAGCCAATTGATTATGAGAGGTGGTGATGTATATAACTTCCAGGACATAGGTTTTAAATGAAATTGCTTGTCCTCTACTTCCTCTCTCTCTCCCCTTCCTCCAAGACAGGAATGCAGATAAGCTACTGGTCACCCACTTCAGTCCTGCAGATGAAGGTGACATCCTAGAGAATGGTGAAACCAGAAGTTAGGAAGGACCTAGGTTCTTTGATAATCTCATGGAGCAGAGCCATCTGCCTACCTTGAACTGCTGGCTTACCTCTTGGACTATTACCTGAGAAAGAAACACATTTCTGTTTTTTTAAACCCCCTTATTTTGGGGTCTTTTTTGTTACAGCAGCTGAGCCTATACTCTAATATACCCAAAACAGAGCTTTATTTGCCCACTGGGCTGAGCAGATATTAAGCTTCCCAGAATTTGCAGCATCCCTGGCCCCCAGCTCTGCAAGCTCAGCATTCATGGAGAAAAGAAGGATCTCTCCAGGCTTGGAAACACGAACACCACAGCCTCAGCCTTGCCCCAGCCTAAGGACCAAGGCCTGTGCTGGTGGCAGCAGTTGTCCTTACCCAGGGCTCTGCTCCCTGTTTGTTTCAGGGAGTCCCAGTTGTGGTGTGGCCCACTGATAATGTCACTTCATGGCAAAGGCTGTGCCAGGGCAGTGCCTCTGTGACATTTCAAGTTTATTAATTAGCTTAATGAAGGATTCATCCTTTCTTTCCTATACAAAATGTATCTCTGGGTAACCAAATAAAAGATGAGGGGAAGTGTCTCTTTCAGAAGTATTCCAGATAATAATTGAAGGGTTGATAGATTGGAATATCACCACTTTTCAACCTCTAATGAATTAATGGATCTAGGCAATGATCATCCATGGCTGCCCATATCACAAAAAGAGAGATACATGTCTCGTGTTTGAAGAATACAACGTCACCTGTGAAGCATTTCCAAGCAAATAGAATCTGAATCTAATCAAGCATCTAGATCTAACTACCAATTTACAGATGTAGCTCCCAATTGACAGGCAATGCAAAGAATAGAGGAACACCTTCAATGACATCACAAAGACACAATCAGCAAAATCCAGTCTGTGAGAACCCAGAGGACAAACGACCTGGTTCTTCAACAAATATATTGCAAGGGGAAAGAAAGTGAGGTGGAGAGGAAACCCAGAGAGTAAACAGATTTGAAAAAAGCATATAAACCAATTGCAAACTATGGAATTTATTTGCATCCTGGTTTAAACAAGCTGAAAATATCATGAAACAATTGGGAAAAGCTGAACGCTAACAGGATATTTGAGGATATTAAGAATTTACTATTTTTTATGTTATGTTATTTTTAAATTTAATGTTATTATTATTATTTTTTTTAAAGATTTTATTTTTTCCTTTTTCTCCCCAAAGCCCCCCCCCGGTACATAGTTGTGTATTCTTCGTTGTGGGTTCTTCTAGTTGTGGTATGTGGGACGCTGCCTCAGCATGGTTTGATGAGCAGTGCCATGTCCGCGCCCAGGATTCGAACCAACGAAGCACTGGGCCGCCTGCAGCGGAGCGCGTGAACTTAACCACTCGGCCACGGGGCCAGCCCCAAATTTAATGTTATTTTTAAGGTTTGATCAAGATTTGTAATAGTAAAATATTAGAAACAAGGAGGGGCTGGTCCCGTGGCTGAGAGGGTAAGTCCGCCTGCTCTGCTGCAGGCGGCCCAGTGTTTCGTTGGTTCAAATCCTGGGCACGGACATGGCACTGCTCATCAAACCACGCTGAGGCAGCGTCCCACATGCCACAACTAGAAGGACCCACAACGAAGAATATACAACTATGTACCAGGGGGCTTTGGGGAGAAAAAGGAAAAAATAAAATCTTTAAAAAAAAAAAAAAGAAACAAGGAAAAGCCTATAGAAGATGGTTAAATAATTAATAGAATATAATATTAAACGATATTTATGGAGACTAGAGGGCATACTTTGAATGAGAGAAAGACTCTCAAGCCTTTGAATTAAGGATCCAACAGAATAATGAGATGCATAAGGGAGAAGAAAATCCTAAAGTCCTTCTTCTGACTTGAGAAAACTCTCAAGTATTTCATAAAGCAGAGACATCAGTTTGAACAATTAGCAAAAGAGGAATAAATTATTAAGACAAGCAGACTTGCAGATTAGATTACATTTTATAGAATATAATAACACTTTGAAGCAGAGGCCTCTTAAAAGACGCTTTTGTGTGGCTAACATTTCCAAGGCTCACCGAACAATCCTGCTTTGTTTTCTGTTATAAATTTTCATGCGGTCTCCACCCTGGACAGGAGGGTAAGATTGTCTAGTCGTTAGTGGTAGTTAGACTGGGCTGATCTTCACTAGCAGTTAGAATGGCCTACATGTTCAAGACTGAGCAGTGAGATTCTATCAGTTAACTTTATGATAAAATTTCCTGCCTAAGAAACTTTAAGTGTATTATATAGAAAAATAAAAAAGAACAACTAAATAAAATGCCTCATCTGTAATTGGATACCAGATCAATAAACAAACAAACCAGTTGTAAAGGACATTGTTTGGACAAGTGGGGAAATTTGAATATGGGCTGGAGCCTGGCTGAGCTTGTATTCATATTAATTTTCCTGAGGGTGATAATTTGAACTGTGGTTATGGAGGAGAATGGTCCTGTTCTTAGGTGATACTTGCTAAAGTATTTAGGAATGAAGGGTCATGATGCCAGCGACTAACTCTCAAGGGTTCAGAGAAACTGTATATTAAATTATTAGACAGAAGTAAAGCAAACGTGGCAAAAAGTTAACAACTGGTAGATCTGATGAAGGTATGTGAGTGTTTATTGCGCTGTTCTTGAGGGGAGAAGGGTAAATAATTCTAACAAATGGAATATGAGGCATGCAATGTTTGCATCTAGAATAGCAACATGGAAAATATTTATGAGATAATGCTAAATTTAAAAAGCAGAGCTCAGAATCATATGTAAAACAAAAGAAAAAAGACACAAAT